CGGCCCCGCTCCAGCCGCCGCCGCCACAGCGCGCGCGAGGCCCCGCCCCCCGGCCACAGCCGGTTCCGGTTCCGCCCCCCCGCGTGCGCCCGCCCCCCGCCGGCCGACCAATGGACGCCCGGAGTTACGGCCGCCGGCGACCGCGGCTGGGCCAACCCGCACAAATCCTGCGGCCGACGGACGCCTGCGGAGGCTCCCGGCAGAAAACGGCCCTTCGCTCAGCTCTTTAGAGCTTTGGAAAATGAGTTTCGTTGAGTTTGTGCCGTAAAGCTCACCCATTTGAAGTATCCAATTCTGTGATTTTTAGTAAGGTTACAGAGTGGTTTTGCAGCCGTCATCACGATCCACTTTTAAAACATTTCCATCAACCCGAAAAGGATTCCACCTGCTCCGCGCAGTCAGTTCCCACTCCTTCCCTCCCCAGCTCCCGGCAATCGCGAAAGCCTAATCTCAGATCTGCCCCCTCGGGACATTTCAAACCAGCGGAACTACGCCGCATCGTGGGTTCGCGGCTGGCTCCTGCCGCGGGGCCGTTCTCTCGGGTCCCGCCCCCCGTGCAGATCAGAAAGCGGGGTCGGACGCCGGCACTGTCGCCTCCCCACCCCCGCACCGGCTCTGCGGATCCTCCCCACGGCAGCTACAGTGATCTCTGACACAGGACGAAAATCTGGTGCGGCCCGGTTTAAATTCTCTGGCTTTTGCCACTGCTTTCCAAATAAAATCCAAATTTCTTAGCATGGCCGGCAGGATCCCACAGGATCTGACCGCTCTATTCCCTCAAGCGCTCATCTCCATCGCCTAGCCCTGGTCTCCCTTTGCTCCGCCGCCCCTGCCTTCCGCTATCATCCCAGGTAGGTGCGCTCGAACTTGCTGATTCCTCCCTCTTCCTAGAACATCCCTCTCCTACACCCTCTCAAAGCTGGCTCCTCCGGGTCTAAGCTCAAATGTTCCAGCTTGTGAGGCTGTCCCCGACGCCTAGTTAAGGTAATCTCCCACCCCACTCCACCCCATCCTGTTTTATTTTCTTCATCACACCTACCACTGTCTGCAATTGTCTTGTCTGTATTTACTGCCAGTTTTCCCCCACTAGAATGTGAGCTCCACCAGACAAGGGACATTGCCTTGGTATCTCCAGCGTCCAGCATGTAGTAGCCACTCAGTAAGTATTTCTCAACTGCATACGTGAATGTATAAACGTAAAAGTTAAAAACACATAGTAGGTCCCTCAGATGCCATTTTTCTGCCAAAGTGTGCTTTTCCCCTCTTAACTACAAAAGTCACCGTGACAAAGCCCACAAAGTCAGGCTCGAGTATCTGTCATTTGGAAATTTGTCATTAATTTTCCAGAGCTAATTCACTAACTGCTGGAGAAAGACTTTCTGAATCACTACAATTAATTGATCAGTGGGCATTTCCTTTTATTTGACAAAAGACAATTTTTTTTACACCTTCTATAGGATGTAATCACTTCAAAGAGCAGCAGAAGGGAATCCAGTATTTCTCAATGAAATATAAATAGTGAGTGGTGTTGGGGGAGAAATTTTTTATGTCATTAGTTACATGTTTAATATGAATTAGTAAAAAAATAGAACTAGATTCACAGGTTTATATTGGAAAATGCAACAACACATTCGACGTGTCTGGGAAGTCAGGAGGCACGAGGAATTCGGTCAGCGTGTGAAAGGGAAGACCATCACTTTTCAAAATTAGGTTTACGGACAGTATACAAAGTCCATGTGAAACATGACTACATTTATCTGGCCCACAAAGAAAACTCCTGAGATTTGCTGTGTGGCCACGATAGGGCTGTGGTTGAAGACATCCATTTCCCCCAGTGACCCCTGCATCATGCCATTTGTCCCCTGGAAGGAGCCACAGGAGGAATTTCTGTCAAGGCTCAACTAGGAAAAACTGTCCTTCATTGAAAACCAGCTTATTTTAAATCCATGCACCTATGATTCCTGTAGCTAATCATACTTGGTTTTTTGTAAACTAAAGACTAAATAAGGGGTCTACCTTAGCTATGTGCAAGGTCTTTGGTGTGTATTTTCACAGGTTTACCTTTACTCCTGATTTTGTTTTACTCTCCTCTCGATATTACTTTCCTTCCCTCAGCCCCTCCCTCATCAATTTATTTTGTGTCTTTACACAAAATAATAGATTTTATAATATATACATTTTAAGGCTTTATGGATTTTTAATTCTTTCTTTAGAATAGAGGAAATTAATCAATTCAACAGAAATAAAAATTTAGAGAAAATACTAACTTTCTAAGGTAAGACTAATCTATTTGGACCAAAATTCCTCTGACTTTAGAAACCTGTGATACACTAAACCTTCTAATATTTATTTACCCAGCTGGCCCTCTCAGGCATTTTGCTCAGCCTGGTCCGGCGGTGAGAATGCACGCCTCTCCTGCATTGCTCTGCACATCTGGATAGTTACATGTGTGGATTCAATTTGCAGTGCACTTAAGAAAAATTTGCTATGAAAATAAAGCACCGCATTTATTATAATTTTACAGAGAGGTACACAGAAGTACAACAAATCACTGAAGTCTGTGGTCTGCAAGAAGTCAGATGGTAGCTGAAATTTCACACTTGGCATGTTTTGGCCCAGGGGCTACTGAGGAACACAGCTAACATGAAAAACGATACCAATAGTAAGCCCTTGGCCATGCACTGAGAATAAGGCTCCCCTGCAAAAAAATGAATGAAATGAAGCAAAATTCTTACTTTTTAACTTTTTTGGTTAATTATTTAGGTAGAAGTAAACCAAAACAATAATAGTGATAATTTCTGAGTGGTAACCTTACTGGTAATTTTTTTTTTAACTTTTTTCTATGTGTTTTAAGTTTTCTGTGACACATTTTTTTTTAATATTATGGGGGCACCTGGGTGGCCCAGTTGGTTAAGCGTCTGACCCTTGATTTCAGCTCAGGTCATGATCTCACAGTTCGTGAGGTCAAGCCCCGAATCGGGCTCTGCGCACCGACAGCGTAGAGCCGGCTCAGGATTCTCTCTCTCTCTCCCTCTCTCTCTTCCCCTCCCCCACATTACATAATGATAACCATTCCAGAAATCTGCTTTACCCTACCTTGATAATACCGGGTCACAGGATATAGAAGTTGTGGCCAACACACTTCATTTCTGTTACAGTCATACTCTGTAAAATTGATCTGGAATCTACAAAACATTTTAGAAGATTACAGTAGGTACAACAAAGCACGCTTTTGATGAGACGCATCAAAACCTGATGAAAGAAATAAACTTATTTTCCAGTATATATTTTTCTGCTTCCTAATAACATCAACTTAGGTTGCCAACCGGTTTACCTTGTTGGTGGACGGGGTAACTGTGCAGGTATCTTAATAAACTGGACGGACGCACTGACAGGGAAAAGGTCGGCCTTATCTTCACAAGTAAGCCCACACTGGAACTGCCAGTTCACTAGGGAGAGCCTGGGAGGAAAAGATTTGCAGGTAACACATCCACCAATCGTTTCTAATCTGTTAAGAGCATCAGGTAACTGACAGCAACAATATAAATTGGGATTGTCTTTAAAAACGTTCAAATTCTAGTAATTTGTCCCCCTCTTTGGATGATGTAAAATTCCTAATAGCACAGAGAGAGAGGAGCACCTCATAGGCCGATCACCCAGCTACAGTAATAAACAATATGAGAATAAGAACAACAGCTAACCATTTGGGAGGATTTTCCAAGTGCAAGGCGCAGTACGAAGGCGCCTTTATACGTGTCACGTGTCACGTGCACACGCACCGCGTCATTCTTAGCAGAGCACTACTGGGTGTGTCTGGTGGTTAACGTCTGCCGTGGCTGCCTATCCAGCATCCCCCCTTTGCTCTTGTTCCAGCACCCGCACCCAACTCCCCTTTGGGAGACGCCCTCCCCATCATGTACCCCAGTGGATTATTACTTTCACGGATTTCAACCGTGCTCAGCACAAAGCACCCCTTGCTCATCTCTGTCCCCCCAAGAGACCCCGCAGAATCCCTCACACACAGCTTCACAAATACTTGTGAGAACAAGTTACCATTACACACACAGTGGATACATATTCCATTTATACATATACTCCCGTGGCTAATATTTGCAATTTGTAAATACACGATCAGACTGTAAATTGGCATTTCTCTATTCTTCGGAGCGTTCTCAACTTTACTGACTCTCTCCAAACGACACTTATCCAAGATGCAATCAAACCTTGTCTCTATGCCAAGTATCTCCTGCTGAGTAATCCCTTCCACTGCACCAGCATCTGAGCTGAGGATGCGGACGTTGAGCCGGGCAGGAATATCCGTGCAGATGCCATTCACACTAACCAATGGGTCTGCCCCTGTGTCTGTGTCGGGGGCATCTGCGCCTACAGAGATGTCAAGCAGTGCATTTTGGAAAGAATAATTTAGTAACAGTTTTCCTACAATGTCATGATGCAGGGGGAGAAAACAGGAAACGTTATTAGATAGCAATCACATTACTGCATCTTTCACCTCTAATAACTGTTATCCATTGAGTTCAAAACTTTTCCTTATAAAGTCAATCACTGGAACCTTAAAGTCCCGGACCCATGGG